CCTCCTTGTTGAAAGTTTTTAAAAACCTGTTTTCAAACCTTGACTCTTTGGTCCTTTAACAACTGGAAATATAACAAATATCCTTTACTAACAGAATAATCCATCAAGGTTTTCTCTGTGATTAAGGTCAATTTACATTTACTACCTATGTGAAAATTTAAAGTAAGAAGTTTAAAACATACCCATTTCCCTGCTTCTTTCTCTTCAACTTCTCTCTTCCTGAACTGGACCTTTGCTTTTAATGTTGTAACTGTGATATACATTTATCAAATTAATGCAGATTGGATATCTATTTGTGTTTATCAGCATAGTAGATGCTAAGTAGGCATGTCACACAAGTACAAGTTACAGTCCTTGACTCTTGGAAGTTTGCAATCTGTTCGGAAGGTAGTATTTATCAAATGATCAATATGAAAATGAGCAAAGAGTGAGTGGAAATAGATGTTTAATTCATCCTTCATTGAGTGAATAATTATGGTATTTGTCATCTGTTATGTGCAAGTATTACGATGTTCAGTAGTGAACGAGACCTGCACAGAGTTTCCTGCCAGTGAAGACTCTGAACACACAGACAGCATTTCCAGGCCTATACTTCCAGGGAAAGACCATGCTAGGGGAGCAAATATGAAGAGAACCTGACCCTGAGTGGGCAGTGTGGAAAGACCCTGGAGCAGGTGATATCTAAGCTGAACTCTGAAAGACATCAGGGCAAATCATCCTAGTGTTGGTGGTAGGAGCAGAATGAGCTATAGATGAAAATTGACCTAGACTGTGGAAACCTTACATATTCAAGTCTGGAGGTAAAAGAAAGCAAAGTAGTTATATTTAAGGAACTAGAAGAAGTTTAGTATGACTAAAGCAAGGAATTTGAGGGAAGTAAGTGGAAAGGGTTCTGGCAAGAGTGATGAAAAGAGACCAGCTTCTATGCAACTTTGTTAGCTATGTTAAATATTTCAATTTTACTCCAGGCGTGGTGATGCACACCTGTAACTCCAGCATTCTGCAAGCTGAGACAGGAGGATCTCAAGTCTGAAGCCATTCTGGGGAATTTAGTGAGACTCTGTCTAAAAAAAAAAAATTGGCCAAGATGTAGCTCAATGAGAAGGCTCCAAGTTCAATCCTTAATACTAAAGGGAAAAAAAGGAAGGAATATATTTCTGTCTTAGGGCTGGGCTTCAACTGGTCAAATGCATACAACTGGTCAAACACACACAAAAGGCCTTGAGTTTGATGCCCAGTACCCAAAAGAAAGAAGAAAGAAAAAAGAAAATTTCGATTTGGTGTAAGAAAAATGCAGGAAATATTAAAATTCATTGTTTTGTTTTTAAAAAGATTGAAATGATAATATTCATATTTTGAAGGAGTCACTCTAGCTAGGATAAGAAGAATGGCTTTGAAAAGTATTGGACTAGAAGAAGCCTAAGTAAAAGATAACGGTCAGCTGAGTAAGGATGGTAATGCAAAGAAAAGCACACACTGTGGGATATTTAGGAGTTGGAACCAATAGATCTTGATGACCAACAGACTCAAGTGGAGACAGCCAACATCAGCATGTAGATGAGTCCAGGACAGACCACTGGACTAAGGATACAAGATGGACAAATCCAGATCTGTGAAATAAGATGAGGTCACTCAGAAAGAGGAAGTGAGTCCCAGAAAGATTCCTGAAAAACCTCAACATTAAGAGGAAGGATGGGGGCTGGAGGTTTAGCTCAGCGGCATAAGCACCTGCCTTGCAAGCAGGCGGTCGTGAGTTCGATTTCCGGTACTGATAAAAATGAAAAAGACAAAAAAAAAAAAAAAAAAGAAAAAAAAAGAGGAAGGATGCAGAAAGAAGAGTCCTCAAAGAAGCAGACAGAGAATGATCAGAGACAGGGAAGGGAAACCAAGGTAGCAGAATGTGAGGGAAGCCTAGGGAAGGCATCACTTCAAAGAGGATGGCAGGGGCTGAGGGTGTAGCTCAGGGTCTGCCTCAGTGGTTTAGCTCAGAGAACAGGGTCCTTGGTTTGATCCCTAGCACTGCAAAACAAGACAATAACAAAAATAGGGGCAAAGTTAGCAGGGTCCAAGAATACAGAAAGACTAAGGAAGGTGAAATCTGAATGAGACTTTTGGATCATTTAGCTGCAAGAAAATTGGAGATCTTGATAAGAGCATTTCAGTGACATGTTGAATGATGATTGCAACAATGAGATAAAACAGTGCTAATTGTTGCATTATTTTGTGAATTACCAAAAGGAGAGGAAAATTTATCACCTCTCTATCTATTAGTGTGTTGTTGCCCTGTGAATGCTGTGTATGCTTTTTCTAAGTACTAGACTTGAATTTCTTTTTGTGGTTGTTGTTTGTTTGTTTTATTTTTTATTTTTGGTGCTGGTGAGCAAACTCACAACCTCTTGTTTGCCAAGCAGATACTTACACGGCTGAGCTAAACCCCCGGCCTACTTGTTGGTTTCTAAGACAGGGTCTTCATACGTGGTTCAAACTGGCCTTGAACTCATAGTAATCCTTCTGCCTCAGCCTCCTGAGTGCTGAGATTACAGGCCTGTGTCAACATGCCCTGCTAGACTGGAGCCTAGAGATTTATATCATTTATTTTTAGAGCTCCAATGACTATCACAGTCTGATAGATATAAAGAATAAATTTAATAGATTGGTTTTGTTTTGTTTTGTTTTTTAACTAATTCAAGTTGTCTGCAGCATCTCAGACAAATGTCTAAACTCTGGGATCAGACCTTGAAAAGCAGCTAGAAAGCAGTTGAGAATAGTAGATGAAACCAGAGATTCTATCTCTCTGACTTCTTATTTGTCACTGGACCAGTCATACAGACTCTTGTCTCAATTTGCTCAACTCCAAAGTGACTATCTTTTTTTTTTTTTTTCATGGTACTGGGGATCGAACTCATAACCTTGCGCTTGCCAGACAGGCGCTTTCACAACTGCGCTAAATCCCCAGCCCCAAAGTGACTGTCTCTCTATTTATCATCAGAAGTATTCAGAACCTTAATTAATATCAAGGGAAGAGTTTGTAAGCCTCATAACATGAGATCTATCATTGAAAGGCCATGCTATTATCATGGGCCATTTCCTTTCATCTCCATGTTTTCTTAACTGGATCAGTTTTACATTTCAATGTGAGTTAGTATGCATCACTATTATTAAGTTGAATGTTGAATTTCACTCCCCAAAGAGTTTTTGAGTTCAATAATGGAAAAAGATGAAGCATACATTATTGCAGTAATAACACCCTCTCTCATGAGTTGTCATTTCACAAGAATCTTAAAACAGGACTTGGGCAGAATTACAGTTCAGAAGAGAGCCCGTCTGAGAAGAGGCCTGTACATTTATTTCCCTTTTCTCTTTCCATATTTCATTCATGAGACTCCAGTAAAAGATGAGACTGAGCGTCACACAGGTACAGACACTCCTAAAATAACAGGCCCTGCTCCACAACCCTACGAGGCTCCTCTCACCAACACTTTGATGCCCCAGGCAGAACTTGCTGAATCCTGACTCCAGCCAGTTCTCATTTCCTTTTGTCACAGGCAGCTGAGCTAGTTAGAAATATTACAGGCAGTCAGACAGGCCTAGGCCCTGGAAGGAGCCGGCACAGAGGACCGGAGATCTGGTGACCTTGGGGGAGACTCACACCTCTTGCTATGGGCCAAATCTCACGACAGAAGGCAAAAGAAATGCAAACACACCCTTAAGTATAATCCTTAGGGATTAAGTCTGGATCAACTCAAGAAGCCAAAAGCCACCATCCCGACCCCCATAGGAAGAGTCACTGATCCATAAAGAATGCTCATTTGCTCCATGACTCACTTCCCCATTTGTTCCCGATTTGGTCAGTTTTACCTGAATAATTTAACTTCTTGGTTGACCATAGCTCTGTCCCACCTCATGCCCATCTGCCTTGCAGATTCCCAGTTTTCCTCCCTTTAGACCCATCTCATCTCATGGTTTAACCCTATATAAATCCCTAGAAAATACAGAATCTTTGGCAACCCACGCTGGATCCCTTCTGTCTCTCTTTCAGACAGAAGCTTTCTTTCTCTCAATAAATATTTCTGCTCTTAACCTCTGTTATTCCTAAAATTCATTCTTCGATTTTAGAGAACACAAACTTGAACCAGACATACAGTAGGTTGAGAGTTTTGTTTTCCTATATCACTTTCTGGATGCCAAAGAACTAGTAGCTAAGAACCTGTGGTTTAAGACAGGGCCTCACTATGCAGTCCAGGCTGGTCTCAAATTTATGATCCCCCTGCCTCAGCTTCCTGAGTGCTGGGATTATAGATTGGTTGCACTACAAGTAGCTAAAACCTCTTCAGTTTCCATGTCCCATTGGTACTCTACACACTCCTCCTAATGTGGCCAGAATTCAGTCATAAATATTACTTCATCCATATCTATATATCTATTTATCTGTTGGTCAGCAGTTCAAACTCCTTAACATAAAAAGTGAGATTTTCTATTCAGACATTTTGCAGCAGAGAAAAGTACACCAACAACATTTCTTTAATAATTATTTTGTGGGGCTGGGGATTTAGCTCAGCGGCATAAGCGCCTGCCTTGCAAGCAGGAAGTTGTGAGTTCGATCTCCGGTACCGATAAAAAGCAAAAAGACAAAAAAATAATAATAATAATTATTATTTTGCCCAGAGTTACCTGTTGGAAAAAGGAAATTACAAAAATGTAAAGAATTGAATTAGTATGACTTATAGTAAAAAGTTATAATTTATTAGAATATTCTATTTTATTAGAATAATTTATTAGAATATTATATTTTTCCAAAAATTAAATACATTACATGTAAAAACACAAGTTTACTTCAGAAATGAAAGGGAAAAATAAAAACAAAACCAAAAATAATAACAAAAAATAAAGGGAAGATTTCGATAGGTTACATAAACAAATAACTTAGCTATAATAAAACAACATAATATAGCTGATTCAAAAGTTGTTATATCCAAGAATGAAAATCTCTGGAAGAATAGTTTCAAGTTGTTATATTTTATTGTAAAGAGATCATAAAACTTTACTGCACACTGCATTAAATCAATGCTACATAGCAGTTATAAAAACATTCCCCGAGCTGAATATGGTGGTGCATGTCTATAATCCTAGCATTTGGGAGGCTGACACAGGAGGATAACCTAGAGTTTGAGGCCAGTTTGAGCTACATAGTGAGTTCCCAGCTTGATCCTGTCTCAAAAAACCCAGAAGAAAAAGAAGAAGGTGAAGATGAAAACAAAGATGAAGGCAAAGAAGGAGGAGAAGGAGAAGGACAAGACAAGAAGATCAAAAAGAAGCATCCCTGGATTGCACATGGCACTATTTTTAAAGAAAAATTGTATCGTATAATAAAGAACTTGGCCTTTGTCCTTGGTTCCTGGGAAGGAGAATTGAAATCTTTGGAATGTCCCAAGTAACAGAAGTGTGTTTTATTCATGAGTTGCTTGGATCAGAACTGAGTTTATACTGAGGAGACAAGAGGACCTGGGATGGGAGGTTAATCATCAGAAAAATTAGCCCTGTTCTTAGAGGGTTCGTACTTGGAGCTACCATGATCTCAATGGGACGTGGGCTGGATTGGAGAATGAGCGAAATCAGGTCAAATGCTCATATCTATCATGCCTCACCAATAAAACTCCAGTAACAACTCTGGACACTGAAGCTCAGTGTAGTTTCCTGGTTGTTTAATACTTGAATGTGCCAGGAGGGTGACATGTCCAGATTCATAGGGAGAGAGGATGAAAGCTCTGTATTTGGATCTTCCTAGGCTTTTCCTAGTATTTCTTTATTGGGCTGTTCCTGGTTTGTATAATTTATCATAGAACTATAGTCTTAAGTATTATGCTTTCCCTTTTTTCTCTTTTTTTGAGGCACAGTCTCACTATGTAGTTCAGGCTAGCTTTGAACTCACTACATAGCCGAGGTTGGCCTCGAACTCATGGTGATCCACTTCAGCCTCCCGACTCCTGGGATTACAGGAATGCACCATCATCCCCAGTTTATAGTGCTTTCTTGAATTTTATATCATTCTAACATATTATCAATCCTGAAAGGATCATGAGATCCTCCAAACCTACAGCCAGCCAGTTAGAAGTGCAAGTGGCCCCGGGGCCCTTTGAACAGCTTTGTGGAGGACTAAGCCTTTAACTTGTGTGCTTCCCCTGGATGTTAGCACCAGAGGTGAATGTCAATGCAGTCAGTGAGGTTGAAGCAGAATAAAGAAATGTTTCCTTTTCCTCTCTTCACATCGTACACGGATCATTCTTACACACTGGAAGGATCTCCTTTACTGGGGCCAGGTGGGGCTGTGTCTTTCTCATGAGTTTCCCTGTGCTATACTTGCTTCATAGTAAGTGTGCATGTGAATCCATACAAACATCAGATTGGAATGCATATTAAAGTTGACTAAACACAAGTTTATCTTTTAAAATAAGACTAAAGTTTAGGTACTTTTATTTAGTTAAACTAAAGTACTGATTTTTAAGCTGTCCTCACATAGCAGGGCTTGGTGGCACATAATCCCACCACTCTGGAAGGCTGAGGTGGAATATCACAAGTTCGATGTCAGCTTGGGCAACTTAGCTACATAGTACGACCCTGTCCCTCCCCCCAAAAAGTGCTAGGGATGTAGCCCACTGCAAAGGCCCTGAGGTCAATCACCGTACCCCCGTGCCCCATCCCCCCCCCACAAAAGCCTTCAACTATTAAAACTAACCAAATACTACTCATTTTTTTTCCTCCAAATATCAGTAGAGCCAGGTGTGGTGGTGAGCACTTGTCACCCTATCAGCGGCTGAGGCTGGAGAATTGCTTGAGCCTGGATCACAGCAACCTCCTGTCTCAAGACAAAAATAAAACAGTCAGTAAAAGACTACAAAAATGGTATCAATGTCTTTCAAAAATGAAAATTACATATATAAGCTCCTTATTTATCACATCTCCTTATTTATATATTACCATCCCAAAAGAGATATTAAAATATTGTGAAGGGCTCAGTGGTATAGTACTTGCCTAACACAAAAAATTTGGGAGAGAAAAAATTAAGTAAACTTACTTGACTAGCAGATCAATTTTGGGCTAACATATCACACAAAATTTATAATAATAAACTAAAAACATGAACTATGACAAGTAACATATAATCATATACTTTATGAAAAGCATAAATACAGAGCACAAAATTTAGCAGTTTCCCTGTCAAAGAACAATCATGCAATTGGGGAAAAGGTCAGTTTCCTCGAACAATTATTTTGCAGTATAGGTAATTGTTTCACGCTCTGTTTCAGTGTTTATTATGAGAAAAAGTTTTATAAGAGACGTAGAGATTATATAAAGGTAGTTGAGGATTGTGTTCAAATTATCATTTAAGTGTCTGTGTAGAATGGTGCTATGATTGTTCACAGGAAGAACAGTGTTCAGAATTATGTTGTGTGATGTGGGAGATCAAACCAGGGCCTTGCACATGCCAGGCAAGCGCTCTACCATTGAGCTACATCTCAACCTAGGGAAAATAAAAATGTACCTGGAGTCAGAAAAGGTTTGTGAGGGGATTCAGAATATGCTGCCCCAAATATGCTATTTTGAATGTTGATTATTTTGAGTTAAAAGAAATTAAGAGTCAGCCAGGAAAAACTTCCTGGCCAGGCATTATGGTCAGCCCGAACTGCATAGCAAAATCTGATCTAAAAAAGATTAAAAAAAAAAAAAAAAAAAAAAAACAAGAAACCTACTTCCTATTTAACTGTCTAAAATAAAGTATAAATTTCCCTTTTGTAATGGAAATTGACACTTAGAACGGAAACTGTTATTAGTAACATTATCTATACCAGGAAGAAAGCTGCAGTCCTTTGAGACAACTTTTAACACCTGAGAGATTTCCAGCCCCAAAACAAGGCACTCCTTATTCACTATCAGTTTCCTCCCCACTAACTTTCCCACTGCGTCTCTCCATGACCGCCCCAGAAGTTCCAACCCCTGCTCCCTTCTGTAACTGAAGATGGTTACATCTCAAGCATCTGTTCGCTTCCCGGATGCGTATCTTTGAGGGACTCCTGTATGTACATACATAATTAAAATGGGTTTTTCTCCTATTATTGTTTTTTTCTCTCTATTATTTGCCTTATTTCAATTTAATTTGCAGACGAGCCAAAGAACCGGTGAGAGGGAGGCAGCTTTCCTTCCCTACATTCACTAATGTGCATGTGAACAGCACGTATATAACACAAAAAGCAAAGACAAGTTCTTACTGGTTATCTAATCACAGCTGCATCATTTTCCACTTTCTGACATTATTTCTGACATTATTAATAAACATGGCTCTAAACATACTTCTTTCAGTTGATTTTCACCATCCCACCAACCTGAACCCAAAATCCATTACACTGTCTTTACAATGATATCTTTCGACAGAAAGCACAGTGCCACTGAGAAGGCGTGGCAGGGCGTGTGGGAGGCAGAGCACGTACCGAGGGTAGGAGGAGGAAGTGGGATGTAAAATAAAACCAGGAGTGAAAATAAAAGGAAAGGGCTGTCAAGTGCAAGTAGTCTATCACACAACACGGGTGCAATTCCTTGACAGTGGTACGAAACCACTCTCAGGGAGTGGCGAAGCTACTGTTTTCAGGAAGTAGTTAGAAAGGATTGCCAAGAAGTTGACCACTGGACATCATTTTGAGGAACATTAAATGACAGATACACAACAGACAGGCAAAGTGAATAGATAAACACATGAGTAAAGACATAAGTATTGGGGCTGGGGATTTAGCTCAGCGGCATAAGCACCTGCCTTGCTAGCAGGCGGTCGTGAATTCGATCCCCGGTACCAATAAAAATGAAAAAGACATAAGTATTTTTGTGCATTAGAAGTCACATTGTTCTGAGTAAATTATCAAGAATTTCAGAAAGCAAGAAGAAACTTGTGTTAAGTAGCTCTATGGGGGACAGCAGATGCTCGTGATGACACAGTCTTCTACATTGTTCTCCGGGTTCTGTGGTGTCTGCAGTGCTGCAGCTGCTGAGGCCCTGGCTTAACGCTTAGCACACGCAGGTGGGAAGTGCAGAGCTCATCTCTCCTATTAAAAACCAGCACGAAAGTTACCACTGATGGAATGCCCAGAAGCTTCCAGCTCTTGCCTCTGACTTCTCTGATTAAAGCCAGCCTTGATTCTGCAGCTTTAGTCTAAACTCACACATCTGTCTAACTTTGTCCCAAATTCAAGTTGTTTTTATGGTTCCAAGAGGTCACCCTCTGTGGGTCAAGGAACCAGTGGCCCTGCTTGGGAGATCCACTGAGATTGTTTTTTCTTTAATTCATCTTTTTTTTTTTTTAATCTTTCTCTCTCTGTGTTTTGTTTTTCTTTTTGAACTGGGGGTCGAACTCACGACCTCGTGCTTGCCAGGCAGGCACTTATGCTGCTGAGCTAAATCCCCATCTTGTTTTGTTTTTTGAGACAGGGTCTCCCTGCACAGCTCAGGCTGGCCTTGAACTCAGTATGTAACCCAGGCTGACTTCAAACTCATGTCAATCCTCCTGCCTCAGCCTACTGAATGCTGGGATTACACGTGTGTGCCACCACACTCGATATTTTTCTACACTTTTATAGGGGAGAAAAGTAATATCTTCTCTGGCCCATTTGCTAGGTTTATGGCCGAGACCCCTATAATAAAAGACAGATTAACAGCCAGCCATAGTATAACAGGCCTATCATTACGGCACTCTGGGAGGCTGAGGCAGGAGGAACACAGTTTGAAACCCGCCTAAGCAAATAGCGAGACTGTCTCAAACTAAAAAAAATAAAAGGGCTTAGGATGGAGTTCAATGTGAAGGCTCAATCCCCAGTACTTAAAAAAATGGAAAAAAAGATTAACAAGAGAACAGCACCCGATTTTAGCAATTTTATTTAATACAAGTTTTGTGTGACGTGGGAGTCTTCAGAAATTAATACCAACTGGGGGTTTAGCTCAGTGGCAAAAGTGCCTGTCTGGCAAGTGTGAGGTCATGAGTTTGATCCCAGGTACCCCCCAAAAAAAGAAAGAAAAGAAAAGAGAAAACCAGAAATTCATGCCTAAAGACTGCTTTTGGACAGTTGTGCGGAAATATGATTGGAAGACCAATGAGGGTGTGGTCTCCGGTGGTGACAAACTGAGAGGAATTTAGCAGGGCCTGTTGGTTCAGATTCTTCTGGTTATCTCTGTGTCTTCAGGGGTAAGGGCACGCCTTTCCCCTGGAATAGGGTGAGCACCTGTCATATGGGAGTGGCTGTGAGAGCAGACCTTTCGAGGTCTTCTGGCAGGGGCAGGGGCAGCGTTGCCATCTCACTTCTGTTTTTATTCTCAGTTTCCAAGGTGCTGTGTTTGGCACTGTCTTTCCTGTGCCCCATTGTTCCTGTCACTTGTAATTTGCACGTCTGCCTCACTGAGCGGTCCTGACCTCTGTCAGCCTCAAGTGTCTGGTTGACTGAGTGGCTGTGTTATATGCTGAAGCGAATATAAACCACAGCAGTTTCCACAGTGGGGTCGCTACAGCAGGGGTGCTTGCCAGGCCCACAGACCCCTGCAACACTGCTTCTGGCAATGAATGGCCTCATGTTCCCAGCGGGTCTCCTAGCAACAGGAAGCCTCCCGCTGGCACCAGGGCTTCCCTGGCCATCACCTCTGCACAGCTGGGAGAAGCGGCCAGCCGAGGGGAGAGGATGACAGCAAGGACAATGCTGGCCTCCAGCTCTAACAGTTGTTACCACTTGGAGTCCTCATCCAAATGCAGAGGAAGGAGCCCTCTGTCAGGGCAGACAGAGAGTGTTTTACAGATGAGTGCATGGAGGCTTGCTTTCTCTATACTTTCTCTTTCCCTTCAGACTGGAGCTTCATACATTATTGCCTCAGAGAAGGTATATGAAAGGGCAAAAGGCTGGGAACCATTGTGGTTCTGTTTTCTAAGTTCCAAGAAGAATGCAGAAAATGCCTGGTTAGAAGGAAAAAGCTCACGGGTTTTACAGTGAAATGACTTTAAGAAAGTTGAGGACAGGTTCCCTTCAGTCTTAGTTTCCTGGCAGGGCCCCAGGGAGGTGGCAAGCAAGTAGGCCATTGAAACAAGGGTGTCACCACATCTGAAAGGTCTACTGAGACAGAAACAGTGTCTATTTCAGTGGTAACAGTGACAGAGGGACACCTACAACTTGGAAGAGTATGATCATGGAGTTTTCTCAAAGTGGGAAACATTAGGAATGACCAAAGTTAATTAAGCATTTTTGCCAGCCTGTCAGAGTGGGGTGCAGAGACAGAAGCGCCACTGATAGGGAAAAGAATGAACATGATGCTCTGCAGGTCTGACTGTGCGGACTGAGGTCCACCAGGAGAGTGGGAGTCTCCAGCTAGCACCGGTGGAACTACATTTCCCAGAAGTCTCTCTGTGACATATGAGTTAGGTTTGGCAAAGGTGTGTGTGTGTGTGTGTGTGTGTGTGTGTGTGTGTGTGTGTGTGTGTGTGTAAAGGAGCAGCTCTGATGCTCTGAAGGCCTCTTGCAACCTCACAGTCCTGCTGGCTCTCCTTCTTGATATGGGCAGCAGCTGGGCCCACATCTCTCCGTCTCTCCCTGGACTCCTATATGATGCTTCCAAATAAGTAGGATAAGTGTTGTTTGTGTATAAGATGCTGCTGACGCAGATCAAGGAAAGCACATGATTATAATCCAAATAATCTGAGCTTCATTTCCTTCCTTAAAACCTACGTCAGCGCTGCATCCTGGTTGAAAGGAACACAAATCAGACTCCAAATAGCCTTTGCAAGTACCAACAGCTGAGTCAATTGGGAAAGGCCCTACCGAATCCAGCACACATCAGGTTCTCTGCCCCAGAGTTCCATCTTAAGACCGTTGTGCAAGTCTTTTCTTAGTTTTCCCATTGTTCCGGGGACCCTCTTCCACTTCTGCCTGCCACCTGTGTGGCGTCACAGGTCTCAGTAAGTTTCCCAGAGAGGTGGAGCTGGGGAAGAGAGGGACAGTGGGGAGGCTGATTACACAGTACTTCAAAGACTGTTGTTCCTGTCCCATGTGAAAATTAGTTATTTAAATTGACTGCAAATTCAGCCTCTGCCTCTTCACTAAGAAGCCTTCTCAGAGAGAGAAATAGCATAGAAGTATAGTCTATCTACCACTAATTACCCCTTGCTGCCCGCCAGAAGCCAATGCCGTGTCTTGATAGGTATTTTAGGGAGGGTTGCTGAACACCTCCCACCCATTAGCAGCAACACTCTGTATGATGGTTTCACAGCTGGTACAGACAACGTGCCTGTCCCCTGGTGAGGCAGGAACTTCTCCATCTGCCCAGGCACGACCGTCCTCACGTTTTTTTTAGGAAGCACCTGGTCTAGATTTAAAATCTAGGCTAGTAACAAGGGCTTCAGAAGGACCTCTAGGTCCTCTTCCGTTTTATTCTCTCTGGCCCTGAAGTACGGGCATTGTTTATGTGGTTGATATACTGCCCAAACTCCCTTTCCTCTGCTAAAGGAAGAAAGTCCTTCTTTCGAGGGAAGAAAAAGCAGGCTTTACGTCATTCTCAGAGCAGCCTCGCTTGCATTGGGATTCAGAAAACGGTGCTCCAGAGCGCGGTGCTTTGATGCACCGAGTGCTGAGAACTGGAAAAGCAATCTCAGAGCCAAGGGCTCACAGACCTTCTTCTCCCACAGGCTGTCTCTCACCTGCCTTTCTTTCCTGGCACAGGGAGGGGCTTTCTCCGCAGTCCCTTAAACTGACAAAGGGAAATTCTTCCAAAAGGAACACATTTGTTCCGAGCCCCTCCCCATAATTTCATCCAGTGGAAAAGATAAACTCGCAGGAAAGAACCTTAGAGTTGACACCACAGCCAGACCTAGAGGAATTTTGTCTCAGGCTACTTAGTGTGTCTTCTTGAGGCTCATTCAAAGGAGTGAAATAGGGTTGGGACTTTTCTTCCTGTTTGTAATATATCTCTGTGGATTCTGACTGTACACATTATTTTGTATTGTGCTTCTTTCCTTCAACATTGTACTTGCCAGAGTCAAACAATTCATAGGGATTGCTGTAGGTCACTCATTTTCACTGCTGTATTGTATTCCATCGTACATAAATGCTACAATGTGTTTTTGTGGTCTATTCTTGATAGTTGTTTATAGTTCAAGCCTGTTATAAACAGTACTACCAAGAACATTCTTGCACAGAAACTCAGGTTTCTTCTCTATCTCCTCTTTCAAAACTTGCTGCTGGAAAGGATCATAAATTCACTCTTGCTAAGGTATAAATGACCAAGAAAGATGAGTAGGCATCCTCTCCAAATAACCATGAGGAGCTATCCAGTGAGCTGACTTCTGATCGTAGATTTTTAATTATCAGGGGGCTGATAGGAGAGAAATCCATTAAGGTGAGCTCTGTAGAAAAATATCACATGATGTTTATGCCATGAACCGAGAAAACTAAACACATACAATCCCACAAACCAGCCAAGGTGTGATATTCTATTTAAAATTGGGCATAAGAAATGAAGTCCCTACAGGGCATTGTGGCACATGCCTGTAATCCCAGCCCTGGGGGAGGCCAAGGAAGGAAGACCTCAAGTTCAAGCCCAGCCTGAGCAATTTAGTGATCTGTTGAGACCCCAGCGTGGTTCATGCCTATAATCCCAGCACTTGGGAGGCTGAGACAGGAGGATCCCTGCGAGTTTGAGGTCACATAGTACATACTGAACCCAAAACCAGCCTGAATTACACAGGGTGACCCTGTTTCAGGGAAAAAGGCAAAACCTGAGAAGTCACTTCTCCAAGAATCACTCATCAATTAATGGCTAATTAACCCAACTGGTGCTGGAGTAGTCAAAAAGAAACTCTCCAGGACAGGCACCTGCATTTCAACCCCAGGTGCATCAGCCACTAAGTTATCTTTTCTCACCCTCATTTCCTCTTCTGTAAAATAGACACAATGATAGCTCTTACCTCACCAGGCTGTTGGAAAAATAAAACAAGGCAGTGACTGAATCACATTTCATGATGTGCGTGCCATATAGTAAGTGCTCAAACAATATTTGGTAGCCTCCTGCTTATTTTTATATTTTTTGAGGCTGACCAAGTGTTCAGGTCAGTGGGGGTGTGCCCTTGAAGGAGACTGCGGAATCCTAGCCCCTTCCCTGCCTCTTCTTTGGCTTTTTGGATCTGACATCAGCACGCTCTGCTTCATGCTGCCTGCCACTGGCCCTGGATGAAGCTGCTAGTGTTCCAAACCCCCACACTTCAGCAGAGCAATTCGAGGTGATTTCTATGTACTTGTCCAGAAGGTATTCAGAGTTACTGAGCCAATTATCTAGTGGCAACAAGCTCAGTCATGCAATTTTTGTTCACTTAACTTGCCTCCTGTTTGGCTCTGATCTCTTCCTCATCTTCTTCCTGGGATATCATTCCAAGTCAGCCACTGTCACCCCAGTTCTTGTCTCAGGCTCTACTTAGGAAGGATACAAACTCAATTGTACTCTTATGGCAGCTGAAATTCAAGAAACCAAAAACCTAGCTCAGAGTCGTTAAAAATATGATCAAATTGGCAACTAGAGATTTTTTGGGGTGGGTGAGTGGGTGGGTACCAGGAAACGAACTCAGGACCTCACACTTGCCAGGCAGGTGCTGTGCCACTGAGCTACATCTTTGGCCCCAACTAGGAATGTTTTTGCAACATAAAATTTCAAGAATAGAGTCAAGATCATAGCAAAAGGTAAATGTACACAGATAAACCAGTTGAATGTGGACAGGCATATGAATAGAAGAGAAAACCAAGAATATTAGAAGACAATGTAAGCAAATGTACTTGCAGGACCACACACGAAGTTGTTCATTGCAGTTTGTGATAGAGAGTCAGGGATTCAGGAACTCAATACCAGCAGAAGGGATGTATCTCAGATGCATACCAGGGCTGTGGGTAAAACAGTGTTAAGGAAAGCAATCAGAAAGAGGAACAATATCAGTTATTTAAATATACTGCATATACAAGGGGTGATCAAAATATATAGTAAATGTTTAAATTTAAACATTTATTACAATGAAAGACACATTACCATCAATCTCCCTAAAAATACTCCTACTCACTTTTTTTTATTTTGAAGGGAATAAAACAAAACAATAAAATGGAGCAAAACAAAAAGTGAGAATAATATTGGATTTCCAAAAGCAAGACAGAACGCAATCCCCCATAGTTGCTGTATTAAAATTGTTATCTTCTATTAAACAGATGCTTAGACTACCAGATTTAGGAGTGTTAATCTGTTTTTGTGCCTCAGTTACTATCATCCCAGCCTGTGTCCCTCTGAATCAACTGTTTGCCTCCCAGAGTAGGGTGGAGGTTTATTGTTTCCCAGCGAACGTGCAGGCTGACTCACAGGAGGGGCTGATTGTCTTCTTGGGTCTCCTCCCAACCCACATGGCTGCTGCTGGCTCTCGAGTCCCACTTATTTGAACATACTTTATCCCATCATTTTTGCTACTTTCTGCAGCATTTCTGCAAGTCCTCTTTTGTGAGCATCTTTCCAAGGTTCAATTAAAAAAACCCATGAAGGGCCAGGGATTTAGCTCAGTGCATAAGTGCCTGCCTGGCAAGCATGAGGTCATGAGTTCCATCCCTGGTACAAAAAACAAAACAAAAACAAAAAAACCCCACATGACTGCTGCTAGTAAGTGTCATCCTTTGGAAAAGTAGTTTCGTAAAAACATTATAGGGGTTCTCATCACCTTATTTGCCAGATCTGGAGCAGTGTGACTTCTGGCTCCTCCCCAAAATCAAAATGACTAGGAAAGGTAAACCTTTTGAATCAATTCAGGATATCAAGGCAGCCATGACACTGCAACATAATACAGACTCTCAAAAAGGAGGACTTGCAGAACTGCTTCAGAAAGTGGCAAGAACTGAGATAAATGTATTTGAAGCAAGAGGGAGAATTTTTAAGGGGATTAATGATAGTGGTTTTTTTGTTATGTTTCAGTTTTTGGTGCTGGAAATCGAACTCAGGACCTCACATTTGCCAAGCAGGCATTTACACTGCTGAGCTAAACCCCTGGGCCCCAGTGAGAGTGTTTTTTTACCTTAAACAATTTTTTAAAATTTAAACATTTACCTTACTTTTTATCACACCTATATAAGGAAACATACAAGCACTATAATACCTGCCGAACACAGCATAGTGATTGCATAGAGAAGACAGGAAAGAGAGTGGGAAATGGGGGTAAAGGGAATGAACAAACAGAAGAGGCGCCTTCCAGGGCCTGGTTATGGTTGTGGACTATGGACTGAGTGTCTGAGGAGCACGATTGCTATGCTTTGTCCTCTGCGAAAGCTCACGTTCAAATGTAATATTTGTTTAGAGGCAGGATCTTTAGTGGTGAGGATTACATGAGCTCCTCAAGACAAAAGTCCTGTGGTTGAATCCTTGTGGTTTTCTAAATAGAGGGAGTGGCCAGGTGTGGTAGCACATGCCTGTAATCCCAAGCACTCAGGAGGTCGAAAGTTCGAGGCCAACCTGGGCTCCGAAGTGAGTGCAAGGCCAGTCTGAATTAGAGGATGAGCCCCTGTCTCAAAAATAAATACAAGCCGGGCGTAGTGGCTCACGCCTGTAATGCCAGCACTCAGGAGGCTGAGGCAGGAGGATTTTTGTGAGTTCAAGACCAGCCTGGGCTACAAAGTAAGCTCAAGGCCAGCCTGAAGTGCATAGCGAGACCCTGTCTCAAAGACAAAAAATAAATAAATACGATTTAAAAAATAAGAGGAAAAAAAATAAATAAGAGAAAGGAGGCATCTCACACATGCATGTGCACACTCCCAGTCTCTCTTTACGTGCCACTTCCAGTGCCGCTTCAGGACTCTGTCGGCAAGAAGCCCATCTCCAGATGCAGTCCCGCAATCTTGGACCAGAATTGTGAGCCAAAATAAACCTCTTTTCTTTAAAACTTACCTCATCTGTGGTACTGTGTGGGTAGCAACAGAAAATGGACTAAGGCAGTGATTAACACAGCTCTTTACCCCTGGGGTCCAAAACAGACCCAACAAAGAAAGAAAATGTAGGAAGATTATGTGTAATCTTTAAATCAGGGAAAGTCTCTTAAAGTACAAAAACGCATAAATGATAAAGGAAACGTGACTGTATGAAAACAGACATTTGTAAGGATGTCAAAACAGGATTTTAATAATAGCTACAATTTGAAAACAAACTGTATCAAGAGGGACATGGTAGGCCGGATGTGGTGGCTCACGCCTGTAATCCCAGCACTCGGGAGCTGAGGTGGAAAGATCGTTGTGAGTTCGAGACCAGCCTGGGCTACAAAGTGAGCTCAAGGCCAGCCTGAACTGCATAGAGAGACCCCGTCTCAAAAAAAAAAAAAAAGAGGGAAATGGTTAATGGTGGCCCATTCATACCAGAAAATGTTCAGGGGTAAAAAGAACAACGACAACAATAGCAGTAACAGCTACAACAAGCCGAGACAGACCTACAAGTGGAGCACCAGGCCAGAGTGTAAGGAGGCCTTTCTGAGGGTGGTGTGGGGTTTGGGTTGCTCGCCTCCACCCGGACTCTCTGCCTGGATATATCAACAGGTGAAAGAAGCAGGGTAAAGAGCAGCAAGGACAACGCGAAAGTTGCACTCTAACAGATGGTGGAGGAACACAGAAATCTACCTGTACGTCCATACATAAGTAAATACTAGGAATACATTCTGGGAAATTAAAAGCATATGTCTTTTTAAAGTGTGGAGGAAACATGAGACGATTGCTACATGGGTAGCTGCTCTGACGCAGGAATTCCAGAACAGTTTTGAGAAGCGTTTCGGAATTCTTCCCCACCATCTCTCCAGGGTCCTTGCCGAGGCAGAGACGCTCTGCGCCAGACGCTGCACTTTCCCGAACTGGCCAGCGGGGGGCAGAGGCGCCGTGAGCCCGCTGCCCTGGCACACTGCCCCCACCTGGAATTTAGGGCTGGACCCGCTTCTACACCATCAAAGGCTGCTTATTTTTAAACTGGATATTTGTTTATATTTTTTCAGAGTAGCAGAGTCAAATATGTGCTCTTTGCTGCATGTTCTTAAAATTCTGAACGTGCATTTGAGTTCAGGGTAAGGACCTTAAGGAATTACCTTACTTCATTAAAATTGAAATAAAATATATTCCTATTAAGGAAAATTTTTTTTATAAAACACAAAATGGTAAAGTTTAGTTTTATCACCCAGCGGAATACTAATGTATCTCTTTTTATACTGGAACGGTTTATCAAAAAGAGCACCATAGAATACAGTTGCCCCATTCCAACAAGCCAACCAGATCTCCTGGCTTTTTTTTTTTTTTTTTTTTTTTTTTTTGCAGGAGCTGAAAGAGTAAGTGAAATTTGCTATTCTAAAAAAGAAATTTAGGCTGGGCGTGGTGGAGGATACCTGTAATCTCAGCTACTCGGGAAACTGAGGTAGAAGGATATTGAGTGTGAAACCAGTTTGGGCAACTTAGCAAGATCTTATTTCCATGTGCAAAATAAAAAGAGCTGGGAGTTAGCTCAGTGGTAGAGCACCCCGGATTTTATCCCCAATACCGAAAAAAGAACACAAGAGAAAAAACACTTAAATACACATTGTTAATCCAGTTATTTCTATGAAAGCACCCTAACACCCAGTGAGATGGGCTGGACCTCCTGTCGCTGTGTGGGCTTCAGGTCATCCTGACTACAAGGGCTAGGCACTTCCATGAGCAAATTTGGAGGAGGCCAAGCTTTTCTTTGCATCCACTTTTCTAAATGACTGTTGAGTTTTGACCACCAAGAACTGACATGCTCTCTGATCCTTTTTGTAGGTGTCCACCCATAGTGACTTCCTGGATGATGGCGGTTATTTCTACTTATTGGGTAATAGGAGATTGTCACAGAGCAGCCTCAAAAGTCTTTGGGAAGGGCCATGGCTATAGCTCAGCAGCATAAGCGTGTGCTTGGCAAGTGCAAGGTCCTGAGTTCAATTCCCAAGATGCCAAAAAGAAAAGGTCTCTGGGAAGAGTTACCGAGCTGTTCCTGTATACTGTGTGGGTTGACTTACTAGAAAGACTTTTGGATGACTAGATTTTAGTTGCTTCTCCCTTTGGGAAGGTGATTATCTCAGTCTAGAAATTTATAAGTTTAGCCAGGCATGGTGGCACATAACTATAATCTCGGCATTCGGGAGGCTGAGGCAGGAGGGTACCACTGTGAGTTTGAGGGTTTCTAGGCTACATAAACAAGTTCAAGATCAGCTTGCACTATATAGTGAGACCCAGTCTCAAAAACAAAAACAAAATTTTTTAATAAATTTAGCCCTTGCTAACTACATTATTTGGGAGGTTTGGTTTAAAAAAAAATAAAAGAATGTCTTCTTATGCAAAGATGTATCAGGTTTACATTATCTTCTTTCTGGTTCTATTCTTACAGGTGAGTTAAAGTTAAATTTTAGGAAACTTAGCCAGATGCAAAAGAGAATCTAAATTTTTTTTTTAAAGTTAATTTGTTTGTTGTTTTGGAAGGGGTTCAAATAAATGGAAAGTTGAATTTGCTGACAGATACGAAAGTAAATATATAGTACCATCTGGTGACGATCAGTAGCCATACAAAACTCATGCCCAAAGAAACTAAATCTAATTTTGCCACCAATTTACAAAGATTATTGAATGCAGGATTCAGAAAGAAAATGTGGTATCATTTGTTCAAATGAGGATTTCCAAACCAAACGTCTTGGCAGACAATGGGTCATACAATGACTGAACTGAATAATCAAAACCACAGAACAATAAACCACTGATGCAAAAGGTCTCTGGGTGGTCAGTCTTCTGGAGAGGTGACAGCTTGCCAAATAGCAAGGCCCCCTTGGAAGAATCCTGCATTTGTTTTCCTTCTTAATCAGGATTGGGGTCAGACTACCCTGCTTTAAACCCCCAAGCTTCACTCTACTGCGTCAGCACCCAGAGTGGCTCTCACTTTGGCCTGTGGCAGGACACAGGCTAATTGGAGGGTGGGAAGCATATTTGATTATTTATATGTTTGGTTTTGGCATGATGGAAGCCAAAGGTTTCCAGAGGTATGAATGTCTGTCTCCTAGACCTAAACACAAATGACTTCATTAAGGTCGTGGCTGTTCTCATTGTTGAAGCAACAACAGAAAATGATACCAGACAAACCTGATGTAAAACACATTTGCCCTTGAGAGACCATAGCGGAAAATGAAGGGGAGAAGGTAGCGGCTAAAAACCGTAAACTCTCAAAACGAAACAGAGCAGTAAGTCTTCATGATCTTGCATGCAATATCACATCAAAAGTACAAATGACACTATCAGAGTTAGAGACCTGTTTTTCCTCTTGTGGTACCCAGGGCTTTGCGCTGAGCTATATCGTCAGCCTTTCTCTATTTTTAGACAGGGCCTCAGATTTCTCAGGCTGTCCTCAAACTCTAAAAAGGTGGAATTATAAGCATGAGCCACCATACCAGCTCAAAATTAAAGCCTTTGAATTTCAAAGGACAGTACCAAGAAAGTGAAAACACAATTCACAGAATGGTAAAAAAAATTTGCAAATCATATAGCTGGCAAGGGACTTATAGGATGAATTTGCAAAAACATTTCAACTCAACATTAAAAAGGCAACACACCAGGCAGGTGCGCACCTGTACTGCCAGCACTCAGGAGGCTGAGGCAGGAGGATCTCTGCAAGTTCAAGGCTTGCCTGGGCTACATAGTGAATTCAAGGCCAGCCTGAACTGTGTAGTGAAATCTTGCTCGAAAAGACCACAAAAAAAGACAAAAATTAAATTAAATTGAGAAATTTTTTTTTTTAATTTAGAAATTTTTTTAAAAGGTCAATCTTTTTCCTTCAGTACTGAGGATTGAAACCAGGGCCTTGCACTGAGCTACATCTCCAGTATTTTTCATTTTTAAGTTTTTGAGGCAATGCTGTCCTCAAAGTTGTGATCCTCTTGCCTCGGCCTCTGGAGTAGCTGGAATTATGGGCATGTGCTACTACCCAGCAACAGCTCAGTTTTTTAAAGAACAAAGAAATAGATATGTACATGCTCCAAAAACACAGGACAACATAGCCAGCACCAGTAGCCAGCAGGGATATGCAAATCAGGACTCCAGTCAGATCCACTTCAAGTGCGCTCGGATGAGTATAATGAAAAATATGCTGTAATAACAAGTGCTGGCAAAGACACAGAGAAATTCGACCTTCATCTATGGCTAGCAGGAATGCGAAATAATGCAGACTTTTGGCAGTTCCTCAATGAGTTAAACAATTAGGTCTTTCCCCAGAGATAATACCCAAGAGAAATACAAACATCATATTCTCACAAAAGCTTATATATGAATGTTCATGACACCATTACTCAATATGGCCCAAAAATGGAAACACCCCAAATGTTCACCAGGTGTTGAAGAGATAACAAAACGTGGTATGGCATTATTATGGAATATTATTCAGCCATGAAAAGAGTAAAGTACTGATACAGGCTACGCCATAGATCAGCCTTGAAAACATTGTGGTGTGTTTAGGTTGGAGCTGTGGTCCAGTGACCGAGCATTGCCTAGCATGAGCAAGACCCGAAATTACCACAGAAAAATAAATAAATAAAATTGTGCTATGTGAAACACATCAGACACGTGTATTATTCAGTCACTTTTACACAAAGTATCTAGACTAGACAAATCCAGAGGACAGAAAGTAGAAGCCAAGGGCTGAGAGGAAGTGGGACTGGAGAGTCTGTTAATGGTTATGGGACTTCTTTTTTTGAGAGTGATAAAAATATTCTAGAATTAGGTAATGGTGCTGGTTGCGCAACTCTGTACACATACGAAAACCACCATACTGCACACTTTAAAGGAGTGAATTTTGGGAGATGTGAACTCTATTCTAATAAAGCTGTTAAATAAATAAACAAGCCAGGAGGGACTGAAATAAAGAGAATCCCAGACTGCCTGGGCGCCTCTTTCAGATGAGTGGGGGCCTGGAGGTCCTAGTCCGGAGCTGGGCGGAGGGACAGGCCCTGGCTTGCTCCGGCCTTCTGATCGAGGCGTAGGTGGGGAGAGGCGCCCACAGGCGGAGGTGTAAGCAGCGCTCATGAGGCGTCACTGCTCAGGGGGGCGCCCCTGGTAGGTGGCAACCCATAAAAGCGGAGACAACAAGAACTGAGTGAGAGAGAGAGGCGGGAAGGTGGAAACAGCGATTTCCGGAGGAAAAGGGCATACAGCCTTTTCCCTTGTGCCGGGGACTGGTCAGTCATTGTGTCCTGCCTGCGCCTGGGGACCCTGCTCAGGGCGTCCTGCGCTCTGGGCCAGCTCCACAGAGCCAATTTTATTTTATAGCAGCAGGTGTGAGCAGGGTGAGAGCTGTTAGATGCACCAGGGAGGAACTTTCCAAGAAAGTAGAAGTCCTGTCTACCGTTTCCAAAGCAGTTTTGACCTTCACTTTACTCAGGAAGCTTGTGTGCCTGCTCTCTGCTAGACCTGGGAGAGAAGGGAGGAAAGCAGGGAGCAGGGCAGGAAGCAGGGTCCCCAGACTCAGGCAGGACACAGGCACCAGCCAGGTGACGACCTGAGTCTTTGATTCTACTTGGACCGTGCATCCTGTTTTAATTGTACCGTGCTCCAAAAATGCCTGTGAACTGAATTGTGCTTTTCTCCTCCTTCCAAAAAGGATGCATCAAAGTCTTCACCCAGCACCTCCCATCTTGACCTTATTTAGAACTAGGTCGGGGCTGAGGATTTAGCTCAGTGGTAGAATGTTTGGCAAGCGGGAGGTCCTGGGTTTGAGCTTCAGCACCAAAAAATTTAAAAATGAAAAAAAAAAAGAAAAGGAAGAGAGAAGAAAAAATAGAAGTAGGTCATTGCAGACAAAATTCATTAAGAAGAGGTGATGCTGGGATACCTTGAACGCCCTAACCCAGTATGACTGTGTCCCAAGAAGACAGCCAAGACAGACGGGGGCGCGCAGGCAGGGGTCCTGCAGCGCCAGCCAGCGTGAGGAAGCAGGAAGAGGGAAGAAGGGCCCCCCTGTGACGCTCTCACACCTTGATCTCGGCTGTCAAGCCTCCAGGATGGTGAGACAATACACGCCGCTGCCGTGTCCTGTGGAGCACCCGAGCAGCTTGTGGAACCGTGTTGTGGCAGCCCAAGGAAACCACCAGGGCCTCCCGAAGCTGAGGTTTTACTAGCTTGCTCAGAAACCCAGTCTGCAGTCCATTGGAAGGGTAGAATTTCCCCACTTGTTTCTACTTAAATACTTTCAAAGCCAGGCATGGTGGTGCACTCCTATAACACCACCTCCTGGGAGGCTAAGGCAGGAGGATCCCCGTGACTTTGAAGTCAGTCTGGGCTACTAAGTGAGTTCAGGGCTAGCCTGAATTATATAGCAAGACCCTGTCTCAAAATGAAAACAAAAACAAAACAAACAAACAAAAATACCAGAAATCTTTCATTTCTGTGTGTGGTGGTACACACCTGTGATCCCAGAATTTGGGAGGCTGAGGCAAGAGAATTTCCACAAGTTTAAGGCCAGCCTGGGCTACATGCTGAGTTCAAAGCTAACCCAAACTATATAATGAGATCCTGTCTCAAAACAAAGCAAAACATCAAAATAAAATGTTTTCATTCCCCAGGTCTCTGGGGCTGTTCCTGAGAATGCTAGAGTTTCCAAGCAGAGCCTCGATCTCACCCTGGTGAAATGGGCCCAAGTCTCCTTGAAAACACCTGGAAATGCCGGTCACAGATCTTGTGAGACTAAAACAATAGGAAAATTGGGATTGTTTTCTTTTCTAGTTTTTTTTTGTTTGTTTGTTTTGTTTTTTTGTGGAGGGCCAGTTTAATAGGGTCTCACTAAGTGGCTCAGACTGACTTTGAATTCACTATGTAGCCCACACTGGCCTTGAATGGGTGATCTCCCTGCCCCATCCTGCTGTATCCTGGGATTACAGGTTGTATCCCACCATGCCTAAATTCTTTTTTTAGTTTTTAACAGATATTGCAAAATTTATACTTCCATAGCCTTTCTTGTTCATTCATTCCAACAGATCTTTCCAAACAGGGTGTGGTGGTTCTTACCTGTAACCCAGCTACTCAGGAGGCTGAGGCGGGAGGATCTCAAGTTTGAGGTTAGTCTAGGCAGGTTAGCAAGACTCTAGCTTAAACAAAACACAACAAAAAACCACAAACAACACACACACACTCACAAACAGCACAGCTACCTCATATCAATGGCCCCTGCTCTCCCTGTGCCCCATGCTGTGGTGCCCCATGCCTCTCTGGTGTGCCCCTCCAGTCTGCTCCTGAGCAGTACTCACTTGCCTACAGCATATGCAGCTTCTGCCTCTGAAGGACGCTGGGAGTTCTTGGATCATCCAGTATCTGGGAAACAAGATATATGATTAATCAGGAAAAAAAAAAAAAGACAATCTTTGTTTTTCTCCCTGGAAACCTCAGGGGAAAAAAAATCTCAAAATATTTTAATAACAATTCCAATGGAATCCGTTCACAGCTCATAGGATGAGGCTAGGGAACAACCATGTCAGCCGGACATAAAAACTGATTTTTACATCATGGTCATATAAGGAGACCCTTTTGACTCAAGCCCAGGTTCTCACGTGACAGTGCTTTTTCTCATCTTGTGTCTCTGTGTTTCCTGCCCTCCAGAGAGAAGCGGGGGAGGCAGCCGAGCCATTGATCTCTTAGTTCTTCCTCTTGAGGAAATAGATGGTGACTGGTACAGGACTCACATCTTTTAGATCTGACAATTGTCCCCAGGGTGACATTCGGTTGCCTTCATTCTGTTTCCTGACCTGTCCGGGGCTCTGCTTCCAAGGCTGTCATCTAATTGCCATGTGAGGCTCCTCGTCACAAGGCAGGCAGCCCGCAGACACTCACCAAGCCGAGCTGCAAGTGAAAACAGGAAGCAGCCTGGACTTTCCATCCACAGAGGGAAGTGAGTGTCTTGAGATGCCTGAGAAAGTGGCTCTGGTGCTTGTGCCAGTGAGTTGGTTTCTAAGTCCAGGGCATGCCTTGGTGTTGCATGCAAATGTCAAAGTTTGGTGCAGGAGGCAATCACACATCTAACAAGTGTCTGTGAAGGCTGCCATCTCTGCAGAGGAGAGAGATTCATTCATTCATTCACCAAATATGTGCGAAGTGACAGGCACTTTGATAGGCAGTGGTAAGTCTAAAGCCGGAAGGAAACCATCTCTATCCTCCAGGGGCTCGTGGTGGGGAGACAGATAAACAGAATCTGGCCTGAAGGTAACCGTGACAATCTGAACCACTCTGGTGAGTCTTGGAGGTCTGTACCAGCATCCAAGTCACCCCACTCCAGAGCGTCCCATGAGTGGACTCAGGATGGGAGGCATCTACCAGGAATCACCATCAAAGCTCCCAAATCACTCCTCCTTTCCGAAATGTCTCCACCTCTTCCCCAAAGCTCCTCTCACATTGAAGTTATTGCATCTCAGCTCCCACCCCATCCCACCCCAAAAGCAGGATCTCAGCTTTTTCCTCCTCCCCACATCACCCTGTCTTAGCAGAACACACTTGACCAGGTATCTCTCAAGAGTGCCTTTGGACCTCACCGGTAGGCTTTTTCCAAAGCAGCTGTACTTGCCATTGATTTTAAAAATGAGACTCTAAACAAAATGCCTTGTCTCTCTCTCCCCACGCTGTGGTTGTGGTTTGAGTACACATCCCATGGTTTCCTGTGTTGAAATTTAATCTGCATTTTGAGGTACTAAAAGATTGGAAACTTAATCTCACTATGGAATTTAGACATGGGAGCTTCAGGAGGTGATTAGGATTAGATAAAGCCTTCAGGCTGCCATCTCCATGATTTGATATTGGAGGCTTGCTAAGAAGAGGGGAGGCCAGAATGCTCCTTTTTCCCGCCCTGCTTCTTGCCATGTGATACCCCTTGAGACCTCTAGACTCTGCCAACAAGAACGTCATTACCAGGTGCATCCCTTTGCCTTGGGCCACAGCCAAAATGAGGATCACTGAGCTACATCCTCAAGGATCCCTTTTTTTTTTTTTTTGTATTTTGTGGCACGATCTCGCTAAATCGTCCAGGCTGGACTTGAATTTGTGAATCTCCTTCTTCAGTCTCCTAATTAGCTAGAATTTGCCTAGCAAACAAATCTCTTTTCTTTAAAACATACCCACTCTGTGGCATTATATTATTTGCAACAGAAAATGGAGTAATTTACTATTTGTTTAAGGAAATCTACTTTTCTTCTTTTTTTGGTTCAAACTCAGGACCTCACAGTTTCCAGGCAGGTGTTGCATCACTGAGCTATATCCCTGGCCCAAATTTACTATTTGTTGAAACGGTACAATTACTATTTGTTAAATAGGACAAAGCTTTCCCCAGTCTGAAAGTTGCTGATAACATTTTTTTGGTGTCATCCAACATATTCCTCTATCTCCTGTACATTATTAGATTTTTTTGGTTTTTGAGGCTTCAATAGATTTAGATCTGTTTTGGCCAGAATACTTCAAGATTTGCCAGGTTTAGTAAATACAAATACAGAGTGCTTAGTTAAATGTGAATTTTTGATAAACTAAGAATAATTTTAGTATGTCTCATGAAATATTTGAGTTATACTAAAACTATTTCATATTTATTTGAAATTCAAATTTAACTGAGCATTCTGTATTTCCATTGGGGAACCTAACTATATCACAAGATGTATTGTGACCATCCACCAGGAGTTAAATAATATCTAGCTGTCTCTTCTTTGTGTATGATGCTAACTGCTATTGAGGATAGTGGCCTAAACAGATTATTTCCCTAGAAGTTACAAAATCAGGTTTTAGTTCCATCATTTTCTCCTTTCATTTTTCAGCGAGAGTATGTGTATAAAGAGAAAGCTTCTTTCATTAGCTGGTTAACCTGTTTATTTTCATACAGGGAAGGAAGGATACATGCTTAGCTCTCTCCTGTTATTTACCAGTTTTCAGAAAAGTGAATTGATTCCTTAGCATTTTCCAATCCATTTTAAATGAGTTAAAAGTAGTATTTATTCAGGGGTTTTGACATGTGTTTATTTAATTCATAGCTATCATTATTCCTTTAGAATCTCAAACTGTTCTTGTCCGTCATTGGGAGCTTCTTGAACTTGGGATCTGAAACCTTCTTACGCTACCACAGTAGTACATGTTAGTGTCTTTGTTTTGTGGTGTAAAGGTCCTTAAGTGCAGGGACTTTTTATTTGTCCATATAGTAGACACTCAGTAAATATGTCTTTAATGAAAGAATGTCACCAAATTACATTCTGAAATGTTCATTCTCACTGCTGGTGGTGAACGAATTTAGGAAGGACCCTTCTGAAGCACGGAGTCCTGTTTAAAAGCTATTATTTTGGTTTTTTTGTGGGGGGGGGCGATGGTTTTGGGGTAAGTTCTCACTATTAGTGCAGGCTGGCCGTGAATTCACGTATGGAGCCCAGGCTGGCCTGGAACTTGCAGCAATCCTTCTGCCTCAGCCTTCCAAGTTCTGGGATTACAGGAGTGCACCACCATGCCGCAGCTAAAAAGCTATTAGGCAAGTGAAAAAGTACCAAAAATTAATTTTTGAAAAAAGCTATGTCATTTGTCTAGGTGAAAAAAAGTGAGAGTGGTTTAGGCTAGAAAAGTGTCTATGGGATGGAGAGAAAAGAGTAGGGTAGTGACAAGATACACCAGAGCAAGGACTGGCTGAACATGGAGATGGATTATATGCGGAGGATGACGGGAAAGGAAGAAGGAAGGAAGATTCTAGAACTTTATCTGAGTAAACAGATGGATAAAGATGCTGAAAGGATGAGGGAGTTGAAAGAGAAGAGGGGGAGATTTTGAAGATAAAAGTGCAGAGCTCCATCAGCCAAATGGAGATGAGAGGCAGGGAATTGGATGAGTAAGTCTGGGCTCGGGATGGAGATGGAAGGCTGGGAGTCATCAGGACTTAGGTCTTTAGAGCTCTGGGTGGATCAGGTCACCTTGAGAGACCAGAGCTAAATGAGATGACACTATTTCAAGACCAAGTGCCGAGGTAGCTCTGCATGCACACACCAGGCAAAGAGGGAGCAACCTGTCAGGAGACAGAGACGAGGCTAAAGGGGTGGAAGGGAAACCAGCAGAGGGGATCATGATGAAAACCATGGAAAAGGGTGCATCAGGAGGCAGAAGTAGCCAGAGGTGATGGATGCTACTGAGAGGTCCAAGTGGATGAAGAGACGGACATTGGATTTTGCAGCTTTGCTGGTGTCCTTGACAAGAGACGTTTCGGTAGAACAGTAAGGGAAGGTGAGAGAACAGGAAGTGCAGAATGGAACTGGGAAGAGTATTGTTCCAGAAGTTTGTGGTCAAAGGGAGACAGGAAAGCAGGAGCTGGAGAGTGATGCAGAGGCAAGGAAGGGGGTCTTCAAGGCGGGAGATGTCCCGGTGCAGTAGGAGAGCCTATTGACACTAGGACTGAGATGCAGTCACAGAAGACTCTTGACTGAATCCATGCAAGAAAAAAGGACCTGAACCAGAGCAGCTCAGAAAATGTGACTGAACTTTTGAAGCAGGTTAACCTAAGATCTCCCAAATTCAGATCAGCAGGCAAAATGCCAGATTATACCGTTTCTCAGGATCCGATCCTCTCTGCTGAATAAACAAATGGACTGAAATATACAGTTCTTCCCCAAAACATTGAAAGTGGGATGCACACTGGGATCCTGGATACATGCTCCATTGCTGCCAGGACGTGTGGATCTGGGTTTAAAGCTGAGAAAGTTCCTTGTCCCCTCTCCGGAGCTAAGCAGGGTTTAAAGCCTTTTTCTCTGGCTACCTAAGAATTAGCCATGTGTTTCAGCTATTACTTGTCTCCTCTGGTTGAACCTCAAAGATTTGAAATGTATACAGCGTGGCAGGCCGGGCAGTGCAGCTGAGCACCAGAGGATGCGTCTAAACCATCTGCTGCCCCACTTAATTCCAGCCTCTGTCCTTCCCACTGCTGGGGAGCGCCGGGCTTGACAGGCAGATGCAGGACAAAGACAACTGCAGGCTTGGCTTTGAGCAGCTGCTCACACAGTGTCTTGGGTGGATGTGGGGAGGAGGGGAAATCATCAAGTTGATTTTAAGTGCTTTGCCGTGAGGTACGGAGTATTCCCTCCACCTTAGCGATCCAGAATCAGAGAGACAGAGACCAAGGACGTTATTGATTTCTCTTCTATCAGAGCTGCACAGTGGATTTCAAATTGTACTCAGCTACTCTGAGGCAATTCAGGGTATCAAACAAAAGATTAGACTCTAGAAATGCATTTAAATGGTTGAAACATTGCTTTTGAAAAATGTTTAGTCCAGTGTGGCATGGTGGCACACACCTGGAATCCCAGCACTCAGAAGGCTGAGGCAGGAAGATCACTGTCAGTGAGTCCATAGTTCAAGGCCAGCTTGAGTGATGTACCAAGATAACACTATCTTAAAAGAAAGAAAGAAATTAAAAAGAAAGAAAAAGTTTAGTTCAATTCAATATAAAATGGTGGTGCACATCTGTAACCCAGCACCATGGGAGGCTGAGTTAGGAAGACTGCAGGTTTGAATTAGCCTGAGTATCTCAGTAACTGAGTTCCTATCTCAAAAAAATTTCTTTAAAATGGGGCCAGGGATGGAACTCAGTATGAAGGCATTTGGTTCCATCGTCAGTACTCCCAAAAGAAAAAAGTTCAGTCCATAAAACTAAGAATACATTAAATATTCATTTCTAGTGTATCAAGACTTTAGTAGTATAATATGCAAATTAATTTTTTGAAAAGCAGGCAGTTATATCATGATTTTTTAGAAAATTTTAGATATTTAGGGAAACTGAGCAGAGTTCGTTTTTTTACCCTCCTCTTCCCCAGCACCCACCTATCATATAATTAACATCTTTACATGGATTTGGCACATT